GGTGGGAACAGGTTTTGAGCTCAGAACTTGACTTCAAAACTTTTCTTAGAGTTCCCGCCATCAGACCGTTGCAGGTGGAACACGGTATTGCAGGTGGAAAGCTGGAGATGCTGATACTTACTATTCTAAAGGTAACTCCGAATCAACAACACTAGCCTCCGACAGGGGTTCCCGATTCCTGCCTTACAAAGAAGTAAACGCTGTCAGATCGGAGGAGTCACCTCCTCAAAGCCACGTAGCTGCTGAGTGACAGGAGCTCCCCATTTGTTTTATTCTGCAACCCAAAGCAGTTTTCTGCCTCATCACTTTTTGACAATAGGACTTTAAGGTTTTCCCTTTGTACCTGTGACAGAAATCTAGAGATTCAAGTTGGTTCAAGGCAAGAGTTGACTCAGTTTGATGAAGAACTCCCGACCTGGCAGGATGCGATGGTTCACACCTGTAGTCCCAGCACTGCGGGAGGCTGAGTCTGGTGGATCACCTGAGGACCAAAATTTGAGACCAGCCTGAAAAACATGGAGAAACCCATCTCTACTAAAAATACAAAATTAGCCAGACATGGTGGTACATGCCTGTAATCCCAGCTACTCAGGAGACGGAGGTAGGAGGATCACTTGAACCCAGGAGGCAGAGGTTGCAATGAGCTGAGATTGGACTGCTGCACTCCAGCCTGGGCACCAAGAGTGAAACTCTGTCTCATTAAAAAAAAAAAAACTCACAACCTTTCACAACCCGGTCCCCTTGGTGAAGTTGACTGTGTAGAGGAGAAGCAGAATGCAAATGTTTCCTGTTACACCAAAATGGATCATGAGGCCCCAGAGTGGCCTGCAGAGATAAGCTGTGCATTTCCTGCATTTGCAAGAGAGCCCAAAACAGTGACGTTCAGATACCTACTCAGGGCTAAGAGAGGACAAGGCAACTGTGCTATTTCTAGTGTTCACTAGTCCCTATAAGCAGAAGATCAGAGAGGACTCGAGGAGAGAGAGAAGAATGAGTCATGGGTCAACATCCTTCCCCACAACAGTGTAAAAGAAGCCAGGCTTCAGGGCACCTCTTGTAGATACTGGGAGGCCAGCAGGAAGGCCCTGCTCTACTCTTGCAGTGTCTTTTTTTTTTTTTTTTTTTTTTTTTTTGAGACGGAGTTTCGCTCTTGTTACCCAGGCTGGAGTGCAATGGCGTGATCTCGGCTCACCGCAACCTCCGCCTCCTGGGTTCAGGCAATTCTCCTGCCTCAGCCTCCTGAGTAGCTGGGACTACAGGCACACGCCACCATGCCCAGCTAATTTTTTGTATCTTTAGCAGAGACGAGGTTTCACCATGTTGACCAGGATGGTCTCGATATCTTGACCTCGTGATCCACCCGCCTCGGCCTCCCTGCAGTGTCTTTGATGGTCATCCTTATGGGCTTATTTGTGCAAGAGGAGATAAAAAGGAATGGAGGAGAGGGAAAGCTTCATTCTCTGCTTTGCTCTTGCTCCTTGTGGCTAGGTGAAGACCTGAGTTTCCTGAGGGCTAAAACGATACCAAAAAGAAACTGGGTTTGAGCTTTGCGGCTGATCCATCCAAGAGAACCAGCTGCAAGGTGAGACAACCTCGGCATCAAGAGATGGGGGTCACACCACCAGCATTCTATCACCAGTAGGGTTTGGGAGAGGTTGAGCAGAAGTGTATTTCTTACCAGGGAACCATGTAGGGGGATCTTGTGCAGAATAGTATGCAGTGGAGACGTATGGCTAGCCTGCCGGGTCTGTTCACCAAAACCATCTTCTCCCCTTTGAGATACAGTTGACTGCATGGTCCCAACCCCCTGCCTTTATAGGCGACTGTCGGACTGAGCTCTTGACAACAGAATGTGAGCTTGAATGAGGCATGCTGTTTCTGGGTCTGGTCCATCAAAACCACCAGTCATTCTCCTCCTGTTTGATTGGGGTAAAGATGATGATGACGGCTTTGGAAGCCACATCTTAAGCATGGAAGAGCCCCTTTCACTCTGGTTTTCTGAATGTCCATGTGGAGATCTGTTTTCCAATCTGGTCTCCCAGACTCTTAGGTGAGCAAGGAGCGAATGTCCATTATGCTGAGCTTTTATGTGTTTGGTTCTATCTGCAAGTGCAGTTTAGATATTCCTAACAAACAGAAGAAACCTTCACCACAGGACACCCCCAAATCTACCCATGCTCCATGACGATGCCAGCATTTGGACATCTTCCACGCAGAGGGCATTTATTGGTGTTGAAATTCACCTGATCACCAGCGGCAATAGCAGATGATTTCATCTGCTGCAGAGTGAAAAGGAGGTTGCCTTGTCTCTTGAACGCTCCCTAGACCCACTGGCAGAACTATCAGAACCAGAAAACCACATGGAAACAGAGGTCGTGAAAGAAGAGACCATGCATTCTCCCCAGTTAGTCTTTCTGGTTGATGACTGGGGGGGATGGAGGAGATTCACCTTAAACTGCATGTGAAATCAGAGTTTTACACTGAGCTGTAATTGAGAGGGCAGGAATTCTCAGGCCCGAGAGTGACTAGGGGGTTCTCGGTGTCTGGCTGGGATGTCCTGAGTTTTACACTGAGCTGTAATTGAGAGGGCAGGAATTCTCAGGCCCGAGAGTGACTAGGAGGTTTTCGGTGTCTGGCTGAGATGTCCTGAGTTTTACACTGAGCTGTAATTGAGAGGGCAGGAATTCTCAGGCCCGAGAGTGACTAGGAGGTTCTCTGTGTCTGGCTGAGATGTCCTCACAGCTCAGGAAACCTTCGCATTTGTGTCATTCGTTCCGTACGCTGGTGTCAGACCATTCCATAAGTCAGTTCCATCAAAGCCATAGACAGCTTGGCAAAGACGATGTGACTGACTCCAGGGCGTGGGGATGTGACATTTTCATGTGGATGACTAGCAACAGAAGTGACCACCCATCCTCGCGTTTACCTGGAATGCCTGTTTAAGTTAAGATGCGCTGATGTCACAGGTTAAGGCTTCCCTGTCTGGCACAGTGGTGTGTCATTCGCTGACGGGGAGGGGAATCTGGAGGATCACCCACCAGGATGGTACTTGAGCCAGGGGTGTGGCTATTCTGTCTTGCTGCCTGGAAGATCACTTGTAGCACTGTTGGCACAGCCATTCCTACTGTAAATACGGGAGGGAGGGAGGGGGTGACCGGCATCAGTCAGTGGGAGGGGATGGGATAACGTCCGGCCAGGGACTAGCAAACCGTCACCCGCTTCTCAGTGTCTGAGTTTTGTGGATTGGAGCATTGCAGAGCTGTGCAGGGAGCACTGTCTAGATGATAGAGACCTGGCTCTACCTCTTGCCAGGGAAGTAATTAAATCTCCTCGATGCTTATCTGGATCCATTTGAAGTGAGCTCTCTCCGTGGAATGAGCTGATAAATTCCTTCCTGTGCTTGAGTCATTCTGATTTGTTTTTGTCTCATGCTACTGAAAGAGACTTGTCTACCACGACCGTGCGGGAGTTATACAGGGTAGCCCCACGCTGTCCAGCACGTAAGGCACAGACCACAGGCTGGTTTGCAGCATCAGAGCCCCGGACGGTGTTAGGGCATCTCAGACAGGGTTCCGGAAGAACGGGTGACTGTGACCAAACACTGATCTTCCCTGTGTCCATTAACTTAACCAGGACATCTCCTGATATGTGGGAGTCCGAGGGGGAAACCCAGGTCTCCATCATGTGGCAGAGTCCCTGCCTGGGACTCAAAGGCTGCTTTGGAGATTGACCTGGGTTCAGACCTGGCTCCTGAAAGTCCCTGGTGTGGTCTCGGGAAAGGCTTTTTATGTTTCCAATCTCAGTTGAAAAGGAACCACGTCCACCGAGTTCCTAGTACAAGCGAGAAGGAAACCCTTAATGTTGGCCTTTGCGATTTCAAACGCATGCAGAGAAACTGAAGGAGAGGAAGGGAAATGATTAAAGGGATGGGAAATCGCTGGAACAAAGCTTTCAAGAGTGTCCTGCTGGAAGTTTCCCACGTCCCTTTTGCACCCCGCGCTGGTCCACAGAAAGGCCCGCCTCAAACACGGCTCTAATCATATCAGCTTCCCACTGCAGACACTCTGATGACTGCTGCTGGCTTCATAAAAGCCCTTGGCTGGAGCTGGCGTCAGCAACCCTTAAAGAGCCCTCCATCCTCCCGCCAGCCTCTGCAGTCCAGTCTGGCTTGCCTAACACACACTCCAGCCACACTGGGTGGTGACACAGCCTGAGGTCTGTGGGTACACATTCGTGAATACTATGTGCCTTAGAAATGCATCTCATTATGTTAGATAATTTTGATGATGAAATTTACTCTGGATGCAGTATAGAGAGGGTTCTAGCTACTTACAGGGGCCTCAGGAAAATTTACACCTTGTTTCATATATTTGGCCAACGGGTAAAATTATTAATGCAGTATAGTTTACCTCTAGTTGGCCATAAGCCCCACCATTCCCTATTGTATGACCATGTGCCTTACTTTCTAATTTGCCCCCATGTGTGAATCCTTGAGAGAGTTCTTTCTGATCCCCTCTTCAATAAGAAAAAAAAAATAGCCAACATTTCCACAAGGCCTCTTCTTTGTTTTTCAATTTGTTTGTGACTTTCTTTTAACTTTTAATTTCAGAGGTACATATTGCAGGTTTGTTACATAGCTGTCACTTTGTGTCATGGGGGTTTGTTGTACAGATGATTTAATCACCCAGGCATTAAGTCTGGTACTCATTAATTATTTTTTCTGATCCTCTCCCTCCTCCCACCTTCCACCCTCCAGAAGGCCCCAGTGTGCCTTGTTCCCCTCCATGTGTCCATGCGTTCTCATCACTTAGCTCCCACTTCTAAGTTAGGATTGCAGTATTTGGTTTTCTGATCCCGTGTTAGTTGGCCAAGGAGAGTGGCCTCCAGCTCCATCCATGTCCCTGCAAAGGACACGGTCACAGCACTATTCACAGCAGCAAAGACAAGGTATCTTGTTAATGGCTAAAGCAGTATGAAGCTTTATTTTTTTTTATCCTGGTTTAAACATATGTTTAATTTTACAAATTGGATACATTATCAATGTAAACGTCTTAATCCAGGAAAAGAAAGTTCCCCATGTCTTCTCTTCATCCTTTGGGTCCCAGTCAGGTTTTAGTTTCCTCAGAGGTAAACCTTTTGTCGGTTTGGTGTACATCCTCTGATACATTTTTCAGATATACGTCCATGGTGTGTGTGGTGAGGGAGAGATGTGTGATGTATACACACCTGAGTTATTTAGTATCATCTTATGTATACTTTTCTGCATCTCTTGCTTTTTATTAATAATATCGGTTGTAGAGTTTTTAATGTCAAGTTATAAGAATCTTCCTCATGCTGTATCATAGTTCATAATATGGATGGATCTGTAGTCGACTTGGCTTAAAAGATCAGATACTGGAAGTCGAATAGCCACATGTTTGGTTAGAATCATGTTTTGCCTGTTAAAAACGGAAATGCAAAGGGCTTTAGGTAGAGTAGGCAATCGTTACTTACCCCATAGGCCCAGCCGCTCCCTATTGTCTCGTCCTCTATAGGTAGTTGAGTATTCAAACCCTATCCTCTAGCCATTAGACTTTTAAAAAAATGTGTTGCTGTCAGAACAATGCTATGATGGACAGCTATGTGTATACCTCTTTGTGTTTGTATTTCCCTAAGCTAGATGCAAGAAGTGGCTTCCCTCTAATAGGGGGGAATAAAATGGGCCTTGACGATGTAAATGACACAAAATTAGGAAACACTGAAATTATGAACTGGGAGACATTAGTCGGCTGAAAACTATGTTGCCCATGGAGCTCAGTGAGGCAGAGAGAATAGTTCTGCCCAAGGCTTATAGCTGCTGAATATCCTATTTCCCCAACGTACTCCTGTTGGTTTTCAGCAGAGAAATACACACATTCACGTGAGGTTATGTAGCCCACGGATCTGGTGTGCTTGTGCTTTAGAGCTGTGGCTCATGGCCACGAAATCAGCTACTTTCCCAGTCCTGAATGGGCTCCAGGAGAGAGGGAGGGGAGCGGAGGGAAGGTTCCACCCTCTGGCATCCATCACACCTTGAGTTTCCCCATGGGAGGCACCGGATTCATGGCTTGCCAAGCCTTCAGCCGCACCTCATGGACTCTCTTGGCCGAGGTCAGCCTCAAGTCTGGTCTCCCATTTAGGGGGCTGATGGTGCATGAAAGCTGCCCTGTGGACAGTGAGCTCTGCCTCAGCCCCCCTTGTCTGATGCCTTGGGAGTGAGTGTGGGAGAGGTGGTGCCAAATCCAGGCCAGTGGGAGCCGCAAGGGCTGGTCAGCTAACTCGAGAAGTCATTCATTCTTAAGGCCTTTGTTGGACTCACATCTGTGAACTGGTATTGGTCTGTGTTTTCATCAGCCTGGGCTGCTGTAAGAAAGCACTGTGGATTGTGGCTTAACCAACAGGAACGTATTTCTCGTAGCTCTGGAGTCTGAGAGTTCGAGATGAAGGTACCAGCAGAGTTGGTACCTGGAGAAGCCGCTCTCCCTGGGTTGTAGGTGCTGCCTCTCATAGCTCTGCAGTCTGAGAGTTCGAGATGAAGGTACAAGCAGAGTTGGTACCTGGAGAAGCCGCTCTCCCTGGGTTGTAGGTGCTGCCTCTCATAGCTCTGCAGTCTGAGAGTTCGAGATGAAGGTACCAGCAGAGTTGGTACCTGGAGAAGCCGCTCTCACTGGGTTGAAGGTGCTGCCTTCTTGCTTTGTTTTCACTTGGCATTGCCTGTGTGCAGGTGGAGAGAGAGAGAGAGAGAGTGAGAGGAAAAGAGCAGTACCGGGGGGTGGGGGGGGGGGGCGGGGGTGAGAAGGAAGTTCTCTGCTGTTTCTCCTTCATTGTTTTTCTTTTTTATTTGTGATGGAGTTTCCCTGTTTTTGCCCAGGCTGGAGTACAGGGGCGTAATCTCGATTCACTGCAACCTCCGCCTCCCAGGTTCAAGCAATTCTTCTGCCTCAGCCTCCAAAGTAGCTGGGATTACAGATGTGCACCACCACATGTGGCTAATTTTTTTTTTTTGTAGTTTTAGTAGAGACCGGGTTTCACCATGTTGGCCAGGCTGGTCTCTAATTCCTGACCTCAAGTGATCTACCTGCCTTGGCCTCCCAAAGTGCTAGAATTACAGGCATGAGCCACCACACCCCGCCTGCTCTCTTGTCTTCTGTGGGTACAAATCTCATCACGAGGGCCCACCCACATGACATCATCTAAAGTTAATTACTTTCCAAAGGCCCAGTCTCCAGATATAATCATACTGGGGTTGGGGCTTCAGTAGAGGAATTTTGGGGACGTAGCTCAGTCCAAGCAGTCGGGAAGGAACATATGTTTGAGGTTGGCCAAGTCATTCAGGTATAAGGGAAGTTGTGGGGTAGAAAGCTCCTTAAGAGTTACTACACAGGGAAAAAGATGTGACCTCTAGGTAGGAGACCCTTTCCAGGCATAGATTAGCAATGGTGGGTGGCGTCTACACCAAATCCTTTGATATAAAGTAGGCTTGTAGGTAGAAGCCTGAACATCTACTTGACTTTCTTCTGGGTTTAAATCTAATTTCCTCCCCTTCAGAACGTCCCAACTTTGGAAAGGTGACTTAACTTGTCCAAACCTCAGGATCTTCATTTATGAAGATGGGCGTAAAAGTTATTCTAGAGGTTAAATGAGATAAAATATGTAAACAACTTGGCTCCATTCCTGGCACAACTCTTTATTTCACAATATTTTGAGGAGTTTTGCAAACAAAGCTGCTGCTGTTGTTTTTACCTGGCGTTTCTCATAACGGTGACTTGAAACTTTAAGGGAAAAAAAATGTAAAAATGTCTTCAATGCCTTTTTTTTTCCCCCCATATTCATTTAACCATTATCAGTACACGGGCATTGCTCACGGCCCTCCCCACTTTTTTTTTTCCTGGCAAGACTGTTATAATATGTTGAAAATATTAATTATCCTACTCACCTTATTAGCAGGACTGGATAAACAAATCTGGTTGCTGTGCTTGCTGGGAGAAAAGGCGTGTGTGTGTGTGTGTGTGGTGTGTGTTGCAGCCTTGTCCCCTCGGGTCATAACAAATTATTGATGCCAGTTCCTTTAAAAAGACAATTAATCCAATTACCTTCTTGTCGAATCAATACTAATGTCTTTGTTTCCTTTAACTTGCAGGTTTCGGCAAGTCAGGCATCAGGCACAGTCGAGGTAGGAAATGTGGTTTTTCTGTCCCTTTGGAAGAGAGTTCGAAGTGGGTTTCTTTCATGATGGAATGCGATGAGCACTCTAGCAATGATTTCTCTGTGCTCGATTTCCTGATGGCTTGGATGGTGTATTTTCAGTTGAGTGGTTTCTGTGCTGCTGGATTTTGGGGCGACCAGGTCACCGCACTGCTCTTTGTGGAGTGTGCATGGTAAAGATGGTGCATGGTGACTTCTGCGTCTGTTTCTCGATAAATACATCTCAATTCTAGCCCAGCTCAGACAAAACCCTGGTTCTACCGGTAAGACCTCCACTGTCTCTATTATGTTTACCCATTCCTTCTTTTTTGCTTCTCCTTTGTATTTTTTCCTCTCCTTTTTATTTTATTACTGAGAAGCAGCCTTACTCTGGACCGGGCTGGAGTGCAGTAGTGCCATCTTGACTCACTGCAACCTCTGCCTCCCAGGTTCAAATGATTTTCCCGCCTCAGCTTCCCAAGTAGCTGGGATTACAGGCATGCACCACCACGCTTGTCTAATTTTTGTATTTTTAGTAGAGGGGGGCGTTTTACCATGTTGACCAAGCTGGTCTCGAACTCCTGGCCTCAGGTGATCTGCCCACCTCAGAGGACAGGTGTGAGCCACTGCAGCCAGCCTGTTTTTCTTTTCTACTCAGTCTCCAAGGCATGAAAGGAATTGTGGTGGATGCTGACAACATAGGTAAAGAATGAAAAATGAAACTGGTCAGAAGTCACCAGCAAGGTGACCACCCGCTGGAAATTGTGCATGTTGTAAGGTAATGGGCTTCTGCGAAATACGCCCACCACTACAGAACCGGTCACTTTCACTCCCAAACCACTGTGTGGGTAAAGCAAAGAACCCCGACCCAGGTCCTGAGAGCCCTGGGCCCTGTGTGATGTTGTGTATCATCATAATTATTGGAACGCTAAGCATGTGGGAGTTATTTATATTCTGCTCAAGGTCATCACCAGGGTCTGATTTCTCAAATTGAAAAGAGTACAACCTCAGGTATAAATGAGTTAACTGTGGCGATTCGCTTTCCTCGGGTGTATGATAGGGATCATTATCTCTCCCTTAGATCTATCACGTGGTGGTTAGCAGAGTGAAATAGAATAAGGCTCATGGAGGTAGATTGTCTCTGGGTCCTGCAAACACAGAGGGGAGAGCTGTATTCACAAGTATCCATTCCAGTGAAAGTGTCTGCGTCCTCGGATGGAATAACTTGGCGTGCCGAAGTTTTCCAGGAGCTATGATGCATTCATAGTGTGATTGCTTTCAGATGCCCAGTGAGGCAGGGATTTGGGAAGCACAAGGGTAGGGCAGAGATGAGCAGCCTCCACTGTCACCTGTGTCCCCATGATCTTGTGACCAGTCACTCAAGTGAGTTATTAAACAACACAAATTTAGTTTCCTCTGTTTTGGAATGGGAGTCACAATATGCATCCCATGAGGCTGCTGAGAGTATTAAAATGGCAGTCGCAGTGTTTCCTCTGGTGCTTTGCTGTCATGGGAATACCAGTTTCTATGTATTTAGCACCTCTGATGCACCATTTATTTAGAAATGCTCTACACGCATCATTATGTAAAATTCTCACAAAAATGTTGTGATGTATAGCTCAGACGATCCCCATTTTACAGAAAAGTAAACCGAGTCTTAAGAAAGGCTGAGTAAATTTCCTAGCACCATTCAACTAATGAGGAATAGAGCTGGAGTTCATAACCATGTCTCTCAGGGTACAAAGTGCCGTGCCATGTATACCAACCAGATTATGGCCTGGTACACAGTGGGTATTGAGTGAATGGTAGCTCTCCCAGTCATAAAGAGCTGATTCCACTTTCTAGAGCCTACCTGAGTATATCCTGTTTATCTGTGGTCAGCAGCCCAGACAGCCATGTATGATCTTCTGTCTTTCTTCCTTACCACAGACACATTCTTTTTTATTTATATATTTATTTTACTTTAGGTGCATACTATATCTGGCATTTCTCCCCATGTTATCCCTCCCCACCCCCTGCTATCTCTGCCCTATCCCCGTAACTGCCCCCAGTGTGTGATGCTCCTCTCCCTGAGTCCACATGTTCTCATTGTTCAACAACCACCTATGAGTGAGATCATGTGGTGTTTGGTTTTCTGTTCTTGTGTCAGTTTGCTGAGAATGATGGCTTCCAGATTCATCCAAGTCCCTACAAAGGACATGAACTCAACATTTTTTATGGCTGCGTAGTATTCCATGGTGTGTATGTACCACATTTTCTTTGTCCAGTCTATCATTGATGGGCATTTGGGTTGATTCCAGGTCTCTGCTATCGCACACAGGGCTGCAATGAACTTACGTGTGCATGTGTCTTTATAGTAGAACGATTTATAGTTCTTTGTGTATATACCAAGTAATGGGATTGCTGGGTCAAATTCTTATGTCTCTGTCCTATTTGGCAGTTTAAAACAATCAACCAACAAGAAAACACCTTCACACATGTTGCGCGTTTTCAACTTCATGAGATACTTCTTATCCCCGTTTTACCGACTGATAAAAGGAGGTCTTTCCACATTGGGGGAATAATGTTTGATAATCCAACAATGCCACTTCTGCTTGTATGCACAAAAGAAACGAATGCCTAAGTCCACCAAAACAACACATGCCAGGATTCCCATAAAGGTTCTGTTTATCAGAGCCAGACACTGCAAACACACCAAATAGCTGTTGACAGAATGGTACATAAATAGTGGTATCTTCATGCAATGAAACACAGTACAGCAATCAAAAAATGTAATCTACAGATATATGACACAACCCGTATGAATCTTAGTGATGTTATAGGAAAAATATCAGAACAAAAGAATGTATCATCTATGATTTTACATATGTACATATACACACACATATTATATATATTATATATATATATATAAATGGACAGAATTCACCTCTGACAGAAGAGATGTGGCCATGGAATATTATATATGTGTGTGCGTATCGGTATATATATACCACCCAGATACACAGATAGCATTCATCTCTGATGATAAAAGTAGCAATAATGGTTGACCTCTGGGAGAAGCTGGCTGGGTAACGGCAAAAAGGGGCCTAATGGGAGTGTCAACATTGTCATCTGCATTTAGAGAGGTAACCATCACATATAAAACTGATAGAGCTCTACACTTAAGACAGATGCGCCTTATAGGATGTAATTTGTATGCCAAGAAGCCACTTGGCAAGAAGAAAAGAGAAAGAGAAAAGACAGACAGTATCAAACAGGATGATAGGGTGGGGGGAATGGTCAGTTGATCAGGGTAGGGGAAGTGGGATGAAGGTAATTAGGAAGTGTAGGGATGCTTAACGTACAGAAACACTTTTTCTTTTTTCCTTTTTTTTGAGATGGAGTTTTGCTCTTGTTACCCAGGCTGGAGTTCAATGGCGCGATCTCGGCTCACCGCAACCTCCGCCTCCTGGGTTCAGGCAATTCTTCTGCCTCAGCCTCCCGAGTAGCTGGGATTACAGGCACGTGCCACCATGCCCAGCTAATTTTTTGTATTTTTTTAGTAGAGACGGGGTTTCACCATATTGACCAGGATGGTCTCGATCTCTTGACCTTGTGATCCACCCGCCTCGGCCTCTCAAAGTGCTGGGATTACAGGCTTGAGCCACCGCGCCCGGCCCAGAAACACTTTTGATCAAACACAGTCTTCCTTCCTTCATTCTTTTTTTAATCCAGTCTCCCATTTCCCAGATGGAACCATTTTTTTAATCTTTCTTTTCCTCCCAACTGTCATTTCTAAGGCTGAATTAACATTGCTTCAGCCCAATCATATTTTTTTTTCACGATGGCAGGGAGGTAACCTTTTATTAATTGAATTTCTAATGGCAATTCATCAAAGCAGGCGATCACCATTATTTAATGCGTGATCCATATTCATTGCATGTTCTGTTAGGTGAGTAATAGTGGCTCTTGGAAAGTGCTTCTGTGAGGTCCTTTTCCTTCTCAAATTACTTTCCTTTTTCCCCGCTAAGCAGAGACAAACAGTTGTAATTTGAGCAGAACAAACCCTACCTGTGGAGGAGACACTGGTTAAAAGCAGACAAAAAGAATGACAAAACCACAGAATCAGTGAGAATGAGTGGCTTTGCCAGTTCCCTTTCTCTCTGCAGATTGACACTGAATATGTGAATAACGTTTGCTAAATCTGGACTTTGAAAACATGACAGCAAGCTGTTTGTGCCAATAAATTTTCATGGCATATGCCACCCCTCCCTGCACCACATACAGTTTTAATAAGATGGCACATGAGCTATTGAGAAATGTTAAAAACCCTGTGGAGGAAAGAGCTTTATCTTCTGACCAAATTCTGCCCAGCAATGTTTATGACAGCTTAAGAATTTATCTGAAATTCCCTCTGCTAGCCTCAAAGCACCTGGCCCTTTGTCCCCAAGCAGCCTTTAAGAACCAAACTAAGATGTCACATACATAATATAACAGATAAATGGCCCAATTTCCATGTCCACATGATGAATGGAATGCAAGTTCAGCACACACGTATTTGCACATTAATTGGCCCTGCATAGTTCCATTTTGTTCCTAAGTTGCTACTGTACGTCTCGTGGAGTCCTTCCCCTTCAAAATCATTAAGCCTGTTTTATCGTGCAAATGCATACACATTTCCCCCCTATTTATCATCACGCAGCTTGCCCAGCTGAGAGAGAACCAAGTTACCTGGGCGCAGCCATCGGATTGCAAATGCCCATGTCTGAGCTCCCTCCACCACCAACTGTATATTAACGCAGAGATCTGAGACCCAGCCCCATGTATGATATACTAACAGCCAAACAAAGGAGGTTGCAGATGAGGATGTTTGAAGGAAAAAAAAATCATTTCACTTACCAGTTGGTTTCTTGCCTCACCTTAATGATTTCCTGTTGATAGTTTAATGGCAATGTAAACTCAGTGGAGGGCCTCGATGTTGATAAATTGGCCTGCTTTTATTTCATG